TGCAATAAATAAATAAATAATCTTTGTAAAAGATTATTGTTTTGTGGGAATTTTTCTCAATTCTCCATTGCATTTTGTCATCTGAGAAGCACTTGCCACCTTTCCTGTGTTATTTTATAAACAAATGAAATGAAGTTATATTATGTAATCCAGAGCAGCTGATATTAGAGCGACGGCTGTAATTCTAGTAAATGAAGGCAAACATACATGTTCCAGCATAATGTTGCAGGATCACCATGCCCAGAGCTTTAGTCTTCTGAGTTTTCTGATTTGTGCTGGAGTACATCCTCTGAACCTCAGAAGACAAAATCTCTGGTCTAGTCTTCAGAGCTTTTGGACCTGTGCTGGAGGCCATCCTCGTGAGAATGGGCTCCAGCACAAGTCTAAAAGCTCAGATGATTAAACTTCTGGTCCTGGCGACCGACCCAGATTGGATTCGTAATTCCAGTGGCAGACTGAATTCCTATTTACTAAACTGGCTAACCTCATTTTCTACTCTGTCTATTCATTTGATCTTTTGAGGGGGAGTGTCCACTTATAAAACTGATCACAGAAAGGATGCACATTGTGTGTTTAATCGTGCTTCTCCTCAAAATTCTGGCTGTCATGGTAAAAAGCAGAAAGTGCAGGCAGCAATACCAATGCACAAGGTAAAGCAGTAGGATCAGAAGGCTCCAGAGTTCAATAGTGATGCCCCTTGAGCCCCTAAAGTCTTTGGCAAGCGATCCACATGTTATTCTTCCAGTTTTAAAACATGCTGCCAATTAGTCACAACATTCTTGACTAATGCCAATTATTTATTTTGGCCCAGCTCTTTCTGGTTGTGGAACATTATGCTCATTTGAGGGGGTACCTTATGCCCAAATATTTTGATCTAAGGATCAAAATAGAACACAGCTTGCGTGGCTGTATTTCCTCAGTTATATCAAGCCCAAAATGGGAGGTGCAAAATTAAATTTTAACAGTAAATGAACCAAGGGGCTTCCTCAGATAAAATACTCAGTTTCTGTTCTGACCCAAACCTGGTTCCAAGAGAGCAAACACAAGACAAAGGCAGCAGTATAACCTTTTTATGTTTCAGCTAAAAATCCTGTTTCTTCACAGATAAAAGGCTGCTTCCAACTAATTAGTTCCGACAAGCAAGAGCCTTGCCAAGTTTTTTCAAGTCTGTCAAAAAACAACACATAAGAAATAGTTTACAAGAGTCTTCAAATACCAACTGTAATGTCCACAAGGCTGAGTTCAAAATGTCTTTGCCTTCTGCAAAGTATGTTAGTTCACAGCTGGCTTTTATCTTCTTGAACGTGGGGCCATTACCGTGCAGTCTTACTCCTGAGTTGCCCATGCTGTTGTAACTGCTCTTTCCTCTGAGCAATCTTTCATGCACGCGCACTTGGCACAGGCTCCTTGAGAACCTCCTCATCACTGCTGCCAGCCCGCACAATCTCTGAAGGCAGCAGTCCACTCCCTAATGGTCCTGGCCCCTCATCTGAGTCCTCGCTCTCCTCAGCCCTCCGCACCTGCTGCCGGCTACATGCTTACTTGTTTATTTAGCTACTGTTGCAGAAAATATATACCAAGACTAATCTTGGAATGCACACAAAATATTCTCTAAATCACTGACTTTCAGCATAAATAATTTTGTAATTTTGGAGAATATGTTTTTGTAAGTGGTGTGGGGTACCTTTCAACTCTAAATATATCATTTCTGCAAAGTATTGAGTTATTGCCCATGATTGTCCACTGTTGCTTGATTATCTGTGGTTGCCTGTATATCTTGTAATTCTTGCAGATTCACTGGAGTTAGTTCCTCTAGGATAGCATTTCTCAGCCTTACCAATTTCTTTAAGTTGTCTGGACTTGGACTCCTAGAATTCCCTAGTCAGTAAGGGGAATCCTGGGAGTTGACATCCAAATATTAGCAATATCTTCAAATTGTTAAGAACCAATATTGAGAAACACTGCTGTAGAGGTTTCAGAAAAGCAGCAGAAAGCCTAGTGAGTGCTAAGTCTAATGAGTATAGTTTGATCAACTGTGTGATTGATCAGCTGTGTGATCAATAACACTATGGAAATTGACTATGTAGGATTGTAAAACAAAAGCCTTTTAATTCTTACTTGATAAAGGGAGGAAGAGCAGCAAAATAAACAGACAGACATAGGAAGAATAACACTTATATGGTTACAGTGAGTAAAGACAATGAGAAAAGTTCACAGCAGGATGGTTCAATCTGGGGAAGGTTATTGTGCATGGTGGTGTCATAGATGACATTTTAAGAAAGAGAATTGTACTTTTGTTTTGAGGCAAAAGAAATCATTGCTAAGGGAAAGCCTGTTTTACTTATTGTTATGACTTACAGAGTATATAAACTGCCCTACAAAAACACTTGCAATTCAGCTTTGCAGAATTAATAAAAACAATGCAGGAATATTTGGTCCCAAACTTATTGATAGTAAAGCAGAGGTAGTATTCTGCAGGTTCTGACCAGTTCTGGAGAATCAGTAGAAGAAATTTTGAGTAGTTTGGAGAACTGGCAAATACCACCTCTGACTGGATCCCTCCATCTATTCTCTGCCTCCCAAGTCCCAGCTGATCAACTGGGTCTTCTTTAGTTGCCCTGTACAGGAAAACAGAGCTGGAAAGCAGGTTAATGGGGTGGGGAGGGAATGGAGATTTTGCAGTATCCTTCCTCTGCCACGCTCATCAAACCACGCCATGTCCACCAAGCCATGCCCACAGAACTGGTAATAAAAAAAATTGAATCCCACCACTGTGACATAAAACATTTTAAATTTCATTAAAATGGAAGAATCGGCAGCTAAAGTTTAAATATTTCTGAACATGGCATATTTGATGAACATGGCTAAACGATGCATTCTGAGATCAACTATTTTGTGGAATTCTGAAAGAAACATTTAAAAAACTCAACAAATCTAAGATTTTCAGGACATTTAATTTTTAAAAGAGCAGCAAATTGTGATACAGTATCCATGAAAACTACTGGTAAAGTTACAATAAAGCTTTAGTCAGAAATTAAATCAAATGTGAATAAACTTGGCAACAGCATATAGACAGACAATAACAAGTAAAAATTAGCTGTGTTATCATTGTGGCAATTATTTACGCATACAAGCTGCATGCAGATTTAAATGAAAAATCTGCAGAAAATGAAATAAACTGGAATATATTGATGAGCCTCTCATTCAAAACAACAAACCATTTTCTAAAAATAAGCAACCAGAATATTAATTAAAAGGAGTGCAGTAGTGTATGGCATAAAGTATTTGATAATGAAAACGAATCTGGGAAAGTAACCCTAAAAAGCTACAGCATAAAAGATGAAATGAGACCAACAATATGGCTCATCCCAGAAACAGTAGTCAAAATATATCATAGCAATCAAACACTGGTTCTGCATTCTCAGGAAAATCACAGCGTGAATTTGAGCAGCATTTCAGAGATGCTAAATTAAATCCATCAGTGTTCTGAAGAAAGGATTGTCCCCAAGCATTTTATCTGAAACTCACCTACCATAGTTAAGCAGAATAACTTAGATCCTACAAATCTTAATGAACACCTACCACCACCACCAGCATATCAGGTTCAAAACTCATCACATGTAGTTTGCCCCTTGCAAGAATATGGTTTTATTCCATCATCCTGACCATTTTTCAAATACCTTGCCTCAATATCTTAGCATTTAGTATCCATCATATTTATACCAGGGGTGGGATTCTACAGGTTCGCACCTATTCTCTAGAACTGGTTGTTAACATTCTAAGCAGTTCAGAGAACCGGTTGTTAGAAGAAATTACTGGTAAGGAAGGCAGGAAGGAAACATTCTGTTGTTGCTTACAGAAACTGCCTCTCCGTTAACCTTTGTTACATTCTTGGCAGGGCTAAACTTCCTGTCTCAGCAACTTCTCTGGAGATTTTTTTTCCTCCTTGGCTGGTACTTTGCTTGTGTGGAATGACCATTCAAAGTTACAATGGCACTGAAAAAAGTGACTTATGACCATTTTTTACACTTACGATGGTTACAGAACCCCCACAGTCATGAGAGGCCAGGCGAGGAGGTATGTGCTTCAATGTGAGTGAGGTTGAGTTGGCCACACCCAGCCAGTCACATGACCACCAAGCCACACGCACCAACTAAACCACACCCACAGAACCGGTTGTTAAAAAATTTGAATCCCACCCCTGATTTATACAGATAGTCCTTGACTTGCAACTACAATTGGGCCCAGAATTTCTGATACTAAGCAAGGAACTGTTAGGCAAATTATGCCCAATTGTATGACATTTTCTGCTATGTTTGTTAAGCGAATCACTGAGGCTAAGTGAATCATGTGATCATTCAGTGAATCCAGCTTCCCTTGTTGCCTCTGCTTGTAGGAAGACCGTAAGAAGGTCACAAATGGCAGTCACATGACTCCACAACCATTGAAAAATACATGCCAGTTATGAAGCACCTAAATTTTGATCATGTGACTGTGGGGAATGTTGTGATGGTTATAAGTGTGAGGACTGATCATAAGACACTTTTTAAAGTGCTGTTGTAATTTCAAATGGTTTCTAAACAGTGTAAATTTAAAATGCTGTTATAATCTCAAATGATTGCTAAACATGGTTGTAAGGTTGTATCAACTTCTACCTTTCTCCCAATTCATAACTGAATGGAACTTCAGCATAAAGCATCCCAATTGCAATAACTGGTATAGTTTGCCCAATAGCTACCAATTCTAGACTTCTTCTGTGACACTCTGTGCTAACAACACCACTGTTGTATGCAGTTTTTATTTTAACGAAGCATCTGTATAACTAGCTTTAACTAATATTTGGAAGTGGCAATAATATTAGCTCTGGTTTTCATTGACTGGTTTTTATTCTACTAAATCTTTATTACTGCATTTATATCTTGTTTTTTTCTGTGAGCTCAAAATGACATGCATAAGATCATTCTTTCTTACCAAGTTTTGTTGTTATTCTCCCCACTCACAAGGAAGCAAAGGCAACGGAGAAGAAGAAAGAGGCAAAGATTCTTGAAGACAAACGTAAGGAGCCTTACAGCAGAGATCTGAAAAAAAGTAGAACTCCTGATCTGATAAAGGAAGGGAAAAAAGAAGAACAGGTCCAGAAAGGAAAGGATGAAACAGACAGCAATAACAAAATGGGACAAGCCAAAGAGAAAACCGGTAAGGATGAAAAAAGGTTTTCCAGAGAGAAAGAAAAATCCATGGCGGCAAGTAAAAGTGTAACAGGCCAAGTGAGAGGGGAAGAAAGGGGTAAACTGCTAAAGAGCAGGTCAGTAGATGATACAGGAAGAGAAGAGAGGACATCAGAACATAAGAAAGGGCCTGGGTGGGACAGAAAGACTGAAGATAAAAAAGAATGTGAGAAAATAGGAGAAAAAAAATCAGCTTTAAAGCCAGTCTCAAAGAGAGATGATAAAAGAGAACCCCTCAAAGCAGGAGAAAAAAGTTCAACTACAAAGCCAGGCTCAAAAGTTGACAATGAAGAGAAACTCTTAAAGGATAGTAAAGGAATCCCAGAGACAAAGGTACCAATTTTAGAGCAAGAGGACATGATCCAAGAGCCTTCGGATAGCAGCCCCTCTAAATCTGCAGAAAGTTCTTCAGGCCAGAGCAAGGAGGATGAAGCCACCAGCATCTTTGATGAACCCTTGGAAAAGATCAAGAATAATGACCCAGAGTTGGTAGAAGTTAACGTCAACAATTCTGATTGTATCAACAATGAGATCCTGGTACGCTTTGCTGAGGCCTTGGAATTCAACACGGTGGTCAAGGTCTTTGCTCTGGCCAACACGCGTGCTGACGATCATGTTGCATTTGCCATTGCCATCATGCTAAAGTCCAATAAGACCCTGACAAGCATAAACCTAGATTCCAATCATATCACAGGAAAAGGAATCCTGGCCATCTTTCGTGCGCTGCTGCAGAACAACATTCTGACGGAGCTGCGCTTTCACAATCAGAGACATATTTGTGGAGGGAAGACCGAGATGGAGATAGCCAAGTTGCTGAAAGAGAACACCACATTGCTGAAACTGGGTTACCATTTTGAATTAGCTGGCCCACGCATGACGGTCACAAACCTGCTAAGCAGGAATATGGACAAACAGAGACAGAAACGCTTACAAGAGCAAAAACAGGCCCAGGAAAAGACAGAGAAGAAGGACTTCCTTGAGGTGCCAAAGGCACGCTGCTTGCCAGTTGGCTCGCCAAAGATTTCTCCAAAACCATCCCCCAAAACCTCTCCATGGTCTTCCCCTAAAGTTCCTCCTAAGAAATCTGGCACTCCAGATGCTCCTCCTCCCCCACCCCCACCTCTAGCCCCTCCACCTCCTCCTCCCTTGATTAATGAAAACTTACGCTTGTCCCTTTCTCCGGCCACTCAGAGGAAGATGGTGGAGAAAGCACTTCCTCCCCAGGAGAAGAATTCCAGAGATCAACTTCTGGCTGCCATTCGCTCTAGCAACAAGAAGCAGTTGAAAAAGGTACATCATTACAGCACTAGGCTATAATGTACACATTGACAGAACCTTGTGGTTTATATTCCATATTTTATGGACAGTGTTATATATACTACTAGCCAGAGTTCAACAATACAGTTATAAAAAAGACAATGGCTTCTTGCTACATGTGAATCAAGAAACAATCAGGGTGGTCAGGCTGGGATGCAGCACTTGACAGTTATTGCAAGGTTCAGTAAAGCTACCACTTTGATAATGCTAGTTACGTTAATGCTTACTTGCACATAGTCATCTCACATTTCTGTGTCTAATGATTGGAACATTTTTCCATCATTTTTGCAAGGGCTACATTCCTTAGATAGTTACTGTCTCCTGGTGGAGTTTCACACACAAAAGGCCTCCATTTAGCAACACTGTGGGAAGAGGAATAGCTAAAACATCACCTGTGTTTATCCACTTATTAAGATCATCAGACACCACTATCTTCTGGAGATAAGACAGGAAGCAACTGAGACATGATGTCAGGAACTTTTAGGTTTCTGCATCTGCCTTTAAATTTACTATTCTCAACAGACAAACCCTTTTTGTCAAAGCTATTTTAGGACTAATCTAAATTAGGATGTGCTTTTTAATAATAAGGCTTTCTAAGATGGGAGGGAATCACAAAGGGATGATGGAAGAGAATGAAAGAGGGGATATTAATTCGCTTGTTTGTCTGATGAACTGCTGTAACCTTGAGTTGCTATCTGGATCTCCATTAGATGCCTCTAATTTGAGAATTTGTACTAAGTTCATGTCTTATTTTGGCAGGTGGAGGTTCCCAAGTTACTTCAATAGTAGGGAGAGGAATCTTGGACAGTGGAGATTGCCAAGGCTGAATCATTGTGTTTGTCTTTCGGGTGGCTGTTTACATAAGAAGAACACAACAGAGCAACAGCCTGCCCTGTGTTAGTTCCAGATGAACTGTGTTCTCTATGGGATTAATTTGGATACAAGAATTAAATGGATTGCCAAAAGGCGTTGTTATCAGGAAGAAGTAATATTTATTTTTAGTCCTTTTTAATAACAAAACTTGTTTTTCTCCTGAAAAGAAGGATCTGCAGATATGGTATATTTGGGCTTTTTGTCTAGTTTTCCTTGTGGGAGCTCAGAAAGTAAAGGGGCAAATGTGATCAACGAAGAAGTCTGAATTTCGGGTATTCCTGCTTATCTCATCATTTCCCAGGCAGCAACACCGTAATCGCTTGCCACTAGGAACATCTAAAGAGCTACACTGGAGCAGTAGCATCATGAGAAGGTGTCCAGCATACTGCCGGTACAAGAAGACTCTAAATGGAGCTATGTCACATTTGTGCCCGTTGCGGCTTGATTGAAATGGCGATGTCATGTTCTGTTTTGCCTGTATACTGAAGCAGGAGGGTGGGGGAGAAATCATGAAGGCAAAACTCATTGTTCAATGTCTCTGTGATTTCAAGGATTCCATTTCTCTGATAGCAAAAATCAAACACAGGTTCCTGTAGGTGATGGCTTTTTGGGTGGAAAGAAATGGGTATTTGCTCCACATTTGATTGCTAAAGACTTGTCATGGTGGCATGATGTAGCCGTATGCAAAGGCAGCTGAATGAACTGCATTACTGCTGGGTCTGGGGCTCTGCTGCTTCCGCTTCTGCTTCTGAAGTAAACGACAGTTTCCCAATTCATTTTAGATTTTACAATACTTAATCTTAGAATTCATATAGGAGAAAAAGAACAAGCTTAGCTGTCAGTGGGAGGTAATGGAAAAGGCAAGCAGTCCACATATATAAACAGATGAACTTTTGGAAACTTTGGTAATGAAGAAAGAGCAACTCCATCATCAAACCAGCATAGCTTCCTGGTAGGCTCAATAATTTCCTGTATCTAAATCCAAGTATTGAATTCAATTAATTTCTGGCTTGGGTTGTAAATTAAAACATATTTTTGCATTTAAGTGACTTTAAGAGATTAATATGTTTCATGGCTCACACAAAATGCCAAAGTGTATCTGAATTGAGATAATGCAGGGTTGTGTGCAAGTGTATGCAATTACACGTTTTTCATCTTCTTTCCAAATAAGGAAAGCACTGAAGAAATCTCAGCAGCCTGATAGAAAGCAGCAAGAATTCGTAGCTATTAACAAAAATACAGTTCCCTCCCCCAGATTGCATGTCTTTGTATTTTCAAAAACAAGTGGCATACCTACCCAGATATGTTGGTTCCCATTTTCCAGCATCTCCAGCCAGAATGACCAGGCTAACTTATGGAGATCATGACAACTTAACAATGACCTTCTTGTTCTGACCAAATGAACAAACAGACAAGCAGTCCTTGTTCACCTTTGTGAAATATCTGAAGAGATGTTATGTACCCTTCAATTATCTTTTAAAAGGCAGAGGATAGAGGAAAGGTATGCTTGATGAAGAGAAAGGTTTATATTTTCATCAAATTTCCAAAAATAATGGAGGAAAAAAGAAAACCAAGAGACAAACCACCTGAGCATGATCTCAAAATGCAGACATTGTTGCCATTTTCAACTCTGTTTCTCTTGAATTTTGCATTATGTATGGCATTACCTGCACTTTCATTAATAAAGCTCACAAAATGGCCCCATTGTGAGTAATGAAACATTCTGGGTTCAAAGGCTGTGAAACCCTTCAGATGTGCTAGTTTGTACAGAAAGTACACACTTGATTGATGTGTGAGCTGGACCCCTTAGCGTGCCTAAAGGAATGGAATCATTTCCCAACCTGTCTCCCAACTGTTTACAATTATAGCTGTTTCACAATGGGTAATATGGTTATGATTGTTCTGATCACTGAAGCCAGATTTCTTATTTTAGATTTTCCATTTCCTGGATCATTTTGGTTCTAAAACCTGAGAAAAGAAAAAGGTTGCTCTAACTACTGACCAGAGTATACAATTTTATATGTATATGTTTTATTGTGATAAATTATCTAGATCTTTTTTTAAAAAAAGATGCAAAAGTATAATAACCAGGAACTCAGGATTTGATGATGCCTTTTAATTTAATTTAAAGCTGTTCAAAATTTAGCCACAATATGTTAATGCTAGCATTAGAATTAAAAAGTAGAAACTTTATATATGTAGATTATAGTAAGTGTTTGTTGTAATGACAAGGCAGTTGAGGTGTTTGATCATGAACAACTGAATCATGATGAACTTTATTGGAGTCTAGTCTTGCATTTATACACATTTTTAATTATCCTCAATCATTGGTTAACTTTGGTCACTGCTTAACTTTTGTTACTGTTTAGCATATTAATTAACACAATTAATTATCTCTAGTTAAAGTCTAACATATGTTTACTTCCTCTCTCTAATCCTCCTTTAGATTAGTGACTTTGTTTGCCTGAGTTGTATTTGCTTGGAAACATTCTTTATCTGAGGTTTGCCATCCGAGATTGGAACATTCCTGCAATTACAACTCTACAAGTGTTTGTACAGGATATTGTCACAAAAAAGATGAAGTAGGAGAAATCTTTATATCCCTGTAGAAATTGCAGTGCATGGGCAAATCACAAGGGCAAACTGATTAGGATAAGGGACTTTTGGTGTATCTCCTCAGAAGATGAGCACTGATGGTTATAAATTGTTCTCTGCACAGAATTTTAAGAAAAGCCACTGGAGTGGAACATTCCTTTTTGCATACAAACAAGAATCCTCCGTGTGGTCTGAGTGTGCGGGGCGTCATGCCAGAGGGAAGTAGCTTCTCCCTCACTGCCAGATCACTGGGTTGCTGGCCAATACTGCAAAAACTGAGGATCTGACTGAGTCCAAGGCAGCTGAGTTATTTCTCTGAAGCCCAGAGAAATGTCTATATTTGGGCATTTTGCATGGACTAGCCCAAGCAAAGTTTCATTCCTTTGCACTCCACAAGAGTGGGAAGCCTTCCAGCTGCCCAGAACAGCCCGGAGAAGAAAAACAATGCCTGGTTTGACACAGCTCTCCCTTAGCCATTCACAACCCCATCTTTTCTTTATTGGGTTCCATTCTTGTAGCTCCTCTGCCATTGTCATTGCATGTGTGTTTATTGTCAACCAATATACATTTGCTATTGAAATATCTATGGACTTGTTGCTGTCACAGATGTCCCTGATTTTGTAAGTTTGCACCACATTTGGCAAATGTGCTACAGATAATTATCATGAATAATCAGGAGAGGCTGATGTTTTCATGATACACAAATGACAGATGGTATGAAAACAATTCCATATCTTCTGAAGTTTGATTTTCCCATAATTTAGAAAGTATTTTTTGTGTATGATTATAAAAAGCTGCAGTCTGGCTTACTGTTTCTTACTCACTTTCTGCACAAGGTCATGTTGCTTACCATGGGTCTTGGGGTTGTCAATGGAGCAGGAAGAAGTCAACAATTATGCTGAAAGTGCCCATGCTAATTGAAGCCTCACCCCCTGTTTTCGTGTGTGTGGCACACAGTATATGCCTGGGAAAAGGGGTGGTCTATGATCTCTTGATCATGTTCACCATTTTGACACTGTGGACTTAGTGATGAATGCATGCAGGTGTATGTATATGTGCATATGCTTATAATTAGTCTGGCCAATCTGTTAAGGACGAGAGTCCAGATTGATGATCGATCTGGTAATCCTAGAAAAAGAAGGAAAAGTGAAGTTTGTGACTCCTTCCTTGCCTTTGTATCTGCAGGGGGAGGAGTTCCCTGCTTTCTTCATGGCAAGGCTTCCTCTAAAAAAAGAACAAGTGGAATTCTAACGTAATTTACATCAGAAGCAAAGTCTTCTGGAATGTGTGTTATTCCAATGCATTTTATCACATGACATTACATTTATAGTTCCGTACATCCAAGTAGAGTAAAGCTGAAATGTTTGGCCCCAAAAGATACTTTGGTATCTGAAGTATACTTTGGTATACTTCTTCAATACAATTGGACAGAATGCTATAATATAATTTGGATGCACAGTGCCCATTAATCCGGAGTAGCTTAGGCAGGGCTGAACAACTAGAAAAATTATACATATTAGCTTTAAATAATGATACGTGGTATTCGTGACTGAAAAACAGGCTTTTGTTTTTTATAGTCTCATATTATACCACTCTTACATCAAAGTAGATGCTGTTTAATCATTCCCCACTCCCTTCCTCCCTGAAAGAACAACCCAACTGAGTACTAATGGCAAGAAGCTGGCTTGTTCAATGTAGTTCTTCCTGAAAGCATGAAACAGAAATGCCAAATTGGCACAAAGCCCATGCCAGGCCTTCATTCCAAACAGGTGTTCTTAATTGAGACGAGAGCAGAAATTGGATGATAGGCAAAGTTTTGGGGCACTTTGTTTATGTTCTAAGCATTAGAAACAGAATGGGAAAGTTAAAGTACTGGGTCTTGCAATCATGATCAGAAAAACTTGTGGAAAGAGTGAAGCAATGGATTTTAAGTGGGCCATGAAGACAGAATACTGAAATTGCTAGTGCCTTAAACTGGAAGAGCTCTCGGCTCTCTGTTAGCTGGTTTTTCAAATCAGCACTGAAGTGAATGAAAAAGAGTTTGGGACATTGGTTTAAGAATGCCCTCATGTGGCAAGATTTTTACCTCATATTATCAAGAGACAAATGTTGCTTTCAAGTGAACAGTTCCTAGTGCTACTACCTGCAATACTTTTGCAAGTATTCCATCTTTTCCTCCAAAGACACTTTGGAAGAAGAAGAATATAAAGACAGTGGGGAAAGTACTTTGACACTGCGCATATGATCCCATATTTTGTAGCACTTGATGTTGGAGAAGATTCCTGAATCCTGAGATACCATGAGTAGCCAAGAAAACAAATTAATGGACACTCAAAAAAAGCAACCCAAAGCAACTCATTGGAGGAACAAATGACCAGGCTCAAATTATTCTACTTTGGACATATTATGCAAAGACAAATACTCTGGCTCCAATACTGGGAAAGGAAGGTAGAATGGATGATCAGCAGCAAAGCAGATAGAACTGTAGCAATGTGTACCATTGGGAGACCTAAAGGACCGAGTTGGGGACAGATTGTTATTGAGAAACTCTAAGTTATCTTAACAGTTGAAAAGTATCTGATGGCACATAACCAATACAAATACATTTTGTAGCAAGGAAAGATTCTGGCCACAGAGCCTCATGAAATCTGCTAAGCATAGCAATCGTATGATACAATTCATTTGTGCAAGCAGACATTATTACAATAAATTTAATTGCAGTAATATATGTCTTCAGAAAGAACACACAGACCCATGATTATGCAGAGATGATTAATTCATTTAATGGTTTTAAGGTATTTTAATAGGCCAGCCGTTATTAAGGTCTGTAATTTCTTTAGGATACTCTTAGACCTGTCTTTGGAATTAACGTAGTTTCAAGAAAGCAGTGCTATACACACACCTGGAAACAAGTCCCACTGAACATTTTTTGGAAGAAAAAGAATAATGTAGAACTTTTCTACATTGTGGAGTAGAGCTGAGGGGGGGAATGATTGATTCTTTTATGTGCCATTTTCTGGATCTGAATAATTTTTTTAATAATACCTACATTTTAAAAGCCGCTTTACAAATTTTTTTGAAGTAGTAGTGTAAACTATATCTGTTTTTTCCAGGACATAGCTGGATTCCACTGCTGCCTGCTCCATCTTGTCAAGAATAACAAAATTCCCAAACTAGATCAGATGAGTTGATGGTAGTGGCACCTGGTGGTAGTAAGAGGTGTTTTTCTCAATAGTCAGGAGGGCACCTCCAAGCTATTGGAAAATGGCAAGGTCAGATGCTCTGCTGTGGTTGCATTCTGGTGGGCAGAAAGGAAGCAGATCGCAAATGTATGTATTTCATTTATAAACTGCTGCAGTCTCAACATCCCACACATAGAGAGGGCTCCATCCAAAATATGGCTCAGTATCTAAAACTATAAGAATCAGAACATGTCACTCAAGGGGATGGCATTACTGCAATTTTTAACTAAGCACTCTCTGCCTACGCCACGAAAATCATAACTCTTCCCCAATAAAACGGAAGAGGCGATTCAGATTGAGTATGAAAACTGCCCATTAAATTCAGCTAAAGCTAATTTAAACTAAATTATGCCTTGTTAGTATTTGGATAGGAAACCGCCAAGAAATCCTAAGTCCACTTGCAGACTGGAGCGGAAGGTTGCAAAACTTCTTCGAAGAATGCAACAGCAGGCCCTGCCTCTAACGTTACCGTGAAAAACTGCATTACATTCGTGAGCATCCACACCGCTCCTAAGCAGGCGTTGTTTACGGAGCTGTTACAGTAAGTCGCCTCTGCTTCCCCGAAGATCGCCTCCGCCCGAAGGCGAAAGAGCGGCGGCCTAAACAGCGGGGTGGGAACGGCGGCGTCTTACGACGCCCCCAACGCTTTCGGCTGGCGGGAGTTCGGGGCCCAAAGAAGAGAGCGAGGAGGCTGACAAGAGCAAGCGGCTGGCGACAGAGGCGCCCTGAGGGGACGGTGCGGAGTCGGAAGCGCGAGTCGGACTTCATACAGCAGGAGGTCCGCAGCGACATGCTCTGCTCCAGGACGAACGGCTGCTCTTTGGCGCCGGGTCGCCAGCAGGAACACCATGAAGCACAACATCTGGTGGCGGATTTGGAGGCAACCAACAAGACAGCAGCGAGGACAAGAGCCTCTGGCTGGCCCCAGGCCCTCCCCGTTCACTCCACTCTTCCCGAGGGCAGCCGAAGGACACTTCTGTGGTGCGCATCCCCTGAACACGTGACTGTGAGACGCCATTAGAAGTTGGGGCAGGCTGATATACATCTATCTCAAAGTGACTAACTTTCCTGCCTCCCATGCAATGGTCATTCTACAGGCTACATCAAGAAAGATGGCTTTGTTCCAGAAACACCAGTCTAGTTATCTTCAAAGCCCATCATCTCTGGCCGGTTGCAGTGTCAGCTACAGATTATGGGAACTGAAGTATTTGGAGGGAGCCAGGATTAGGAAGGCTGTTCCAATGTGAAAGAGAAAAATCATACTTGGAAATTCTGCAAGTGAACAACTATTCAAACCTTGGATTGGGCTGAAATGTTTTCTGAACACCAAAGGTCTTGATCCAAATGAAAACTCACGTTTCTAAGGCAACCAGACTATTATTCAGTATTTAAGATACACTAGATAGGATGATCTGGCATATAAATTAACTAAGGAGAAATTTTAAATTTAAAAATCAGCAAAACATACTGACTACTGATTTGAAACATTATGGCTCTTTGTTCCCCTCTCTGGACACCCTCCTCAATGCATTGGAAGCAATGAAAAAAAAATGTTTTCTTTTCTCTGTGTCAAATATTAACATTTTCCTTTATCAAGTTCTTAATCGTTGGCAAAGGCAAGTTTATTTCTCCTGTTAAGGAATTATTCTAGGACTACCTATCCACTAACTATATAGCTGAAATAGAAGAAATACACGCAAACACACATATCAGTAACTTAATCAGTATTTACAACTTTAATTCACATTGTAACGAACATTTTGCAAAGCAAACGTTTGCCATTCTGGTTAGAAAAAGAAGACAGCGGTGCAACTGCTGCCGCGATTCAGCAGGCCATTCCCACACAGTGGGAATGTGGTTTGAGCAAAAGGGCTGACTCAATTAACTCCTTCCTCCAAAAATTTCTTGCAGGAATTAGAAATGGTCAAATGCAAGGAGAGGATGTGTTGCTTCAGCATTGCTAAACCCTTTGCTTTTGCAGAGCTCTGTGCAACATCAAAGGCATATGGCCAATGCATGGCTTCTTCAACTTGGCTAACATGTTTTCCCAGTTACTGGAAGCCATGAAGTTAGTGGGCATCATAGCACATGGTGGCCTTTTCTTGCACAGGAATTGTTTTTATACTCTGGTTGAAGCATCATGCATTTGTCTTGCTTCTCCAGCCTTCTCTGTGCTCCAAATAATACAGCCTTTGCAATACTGGCAAGTACGAAGTTAATATCCCTTCAGCAGGTGGGGAGGAATAGGTGGGACTGTCCAAACTTATCCCACTAAATCTTGCTGATGTTCGGAAAGAACAATGAGATGTAGTGGCAGATTGATGAATTGGGTCATGCAGCAAGAATGCAGCAGGAATGTGCAAAACGTACTATTCTGCAGCAGCAACTATTCTTCTGCAGCTACACCATAAATGACTTTCTGTTCTGGAAATCTATGAGACCGCCCTAGAATGGCCAGACTGACATAGTCAGGAAGAAAACAGAGAACTCCAGTGTTCTTTGCAATATTCCAGTGGCAGAATATTAGATTTTGCACATAATAAAATGCAGATAGAGCCACAATAAACACCAAGGACTTTCGGGAGAAATAAGCTATACTGCATAAATAATAGGCACCCATTTCTTAATAGGCATTCCCATGCCTCAGGAGTACAATTAATTGATTGGAGGCAAATCTGAGATTTGGATTCAGGATAAGTAAAGGGGCTAGCTAATCTTAACTAATCTGTTTTAGTGAAAAGAATCGACTGAATTAGAATATTATGAAAGAACATGAATTTATGTACATGAAAGGGGTCTCACCATGGGAGAAAACACATAAGATTTGAAAGAAATTCTTATAGTTACTTTGGGCAGTGACTATAAACAAAAACAGCAAGTATCCTAAATGATATTGTCCTGTTTTCACATTTGCACTTCATGTTAATGAAGTTAACATGTGAACTCAACAAGATACCTCTGCCATTAGTAAAGAATTCACAATCTGATTTAAATGCTTACTTTACCTTTTCAAATACTGAGGGCAGTTTATACTGAAATTTATAATATCATGGTGAAAAGTTAACTCTCATTAGATTGGCGTGGAATGCACAAGAGAAATTTCAATCCAGTAGATAAATCATTTTAAAAATCCCTCTGAAAATCCAAATTATGTTCAATTGAAAAGAATTTCTTTTGTCACCTATTTTTTTCCTGGGAAAACATAGAAAATATGTATTTTCACTTGTATATGAAATGCCCACAGTTTGATCTCTATATCTTCAGATATTGGACTTCTTATCATTCTGTGCTAAGGAGCATGAAAGTCAGTGTGCCTTCTCTTGTCTATTCCTCATCTCATCTTTAAAAGAGTCTTTCTGGGCTCATCTGCTTTTCCTATGTATTAATTGCACCTACACCTTTATTTGGGAACCTTTATGGGCTTTCAAGCAGTTTTTCCTCCAGATTCTGATCAAGATCTACTTAGCGTAAGGATCTTACGCTAGCACCAAATATCTTCAGACCTTCTATATGTATATCCATCTTAGGCCTCAGGGCTTCCTGGAAATCACCTGGAAGTTATGAAGAATGGAACTAAAATTGATCCTCCTGGCAGTTTAGGGAAAGAGAGTTTCACTTAGATCTTTGCAACCCCCTGGAGGCAATCTGCCTACCCACTCCCTCTGAAAAGTTTGGTTTCAGAGAGGAAAAATCTGCCAATTACACGTATGGTGCTTGCACAAGCTTTGGGCACTTGCATTTGTAATCATCAGCTACTTCTTGAACCATATATTAAGTGAGGAGGGCAAGGTGATTCTCTCAGTATCTGAGTTGAGTGGAGAAAAGAATTAAAAGTCACAATGCTTCCTACCATGCAGAAAACTAATTTTTTAAAAAACACTGGCAAATACTGACACAGGCTAGGGTTTCAGGACAGTTGGAGTCCCCCTACAAGTTCTGTAAAAAGGGAGTTAGCAGGCCCATAGAGAAAGGCTTCTTTTGATTAGTCCTCCAAGATTCTTCTCAAGTGCTAGGCTGTGTTGGTTGCGGTGGGATGTACGGTGGAGGAGCTGCAGAAGAAGAAAGTGACCATTAGTATAAGCTTAGCAGAACTTTGCCAGTCTTTGCTGGTCTTGCAAATATAAAGCAAGGTTAGACTTTAGTACTTGGATAGGAAACTACCATAGTAGGAAGGCTTAAGTCAATAAATCGTCATACACTAAGTTGAACTTGAAGCACATTTTTACAGAAACGCCAAAGTCTAATTCAAGGTTAGATGTTTGCCACATATATGAGGATTACAAAATTACCATACTCGGACCTGTAAAACTCCAGATCGCTACTAGGTGATAGTAAGGGAATTCTTTGTTGTCATCTAGTGGTCCTCACCTTTGCAGCCGTGATATAGAAGTGCTACAGAAATGTCATGTTTCTATATATTTTATTCTGTTACATTGCTATATTTCATGTTACTGTAGTATTTAGGGGGATAAGCCTTTTATTTTGCCTTTACTCATAGCCATTTGGGTTTTATAGGACAAACCTACCTCCATGTCTTTCTTTGTTCTTGTTCCTATAACCTTAATTTTCCTTTCCTGCTGTTCCATGTTATTTCAATACATCCTCAGTTTTAATCAATCTTTATCTTACCAATTAAGAGATGACGAAGAGATTAAATCTCTCACACGAAACTCAATTAAGGCTTACCCTTGTCTAATCAGAAGCATTAATAGAATTTCTTCTATCTACACATATCTGCACCGTACCTGGATAGGAAGTAAATCCAACTTATCATTTGTACTCTTTTCTTACCTGAAGGATTGTAGTATGGTGGCCCAGGTGGATATAGAGGATACTGTGCTGGAACTGTAGGTGGGTAGGGAAACACAGGGGCATATCCAGGATGAAATGCTGGCCCTGCTTTTGGATCCATAGGATAAGGGTCTGGTGGCTGATCAGGATAACCAGAAAGTGGAATCTCTTGACCTGGATTTGACAAACTTTTATTAAGTGCATGGTCTGCGTTGATAGTAAATCTGTGGAGCAATCTGGATTTGAAGAAGAAGAGGCGGCTTGGAGCATGCATGTACACGGGCATCATATCCGTTGGAAGCCACATCTTTTCCCAGCATTATAACACAATTCCAGGAAAAGACATGTTTGATTTCAGGAGATGCAGTAGGTATAATCTGTTCTCTGGTGTGCATCACCTTTCCTCCTTTGAATCTAGATCTCCACAAACATTATTGATAATTCTGCATGTTATAAGGCCACCTTCTCCCAATTTGCTAGTTTGTAGTAGAGATGTGTTGGATTGCAGCTCCAATCCATTTCTCTGGCAGCCTGACTCTGGAAAAGAGTCTCCCATCAGAATGCTCCTCTAAGCAGCATAAGACTAATTGCAAGTATGGTCTTATATCTATGAGAAAGAAGATTTTGGTAGAAAGCCCAATGTAGCTGGCAAAATCACGAAAGCAAGAATGACATAGATTTCAATAAGATAATGCTACTTTGAAGTAAAATACGGAGCTCTGCAATTGTAATAGGAAATTCCCAGTTTCCCTTGTAGCGGGAATTAAAACATATGTCTTCCCTTCCCACCTTGTTGAATTGCTATTTATGACATTATCAGTCAACTGACTCCCTCCAGCATTCCCAGTTTCCCCCCAATCTCTCCCAGTAGGCCACAACAGAAGGGCATTTTCTACCTTGATAAGGAGTCTGCATGTGATGCCGTCGCTGGTACAAGTAGCAGCAGGAGCACAGGAAGCAGCAGACAATGGTGGCAACAATGGCCACAAAGAGAATCACAGCTGAAGCAATGCCAGCAATGGTCCTCGGGCTGCAGAGCACAGACAAAGATAAATTATGTTCATGCTACAGAATCTGCTACTGAAACAGATACTAATGACTGCTCTACAAGACAGGGATGGATGAATTCTCAAAAAGCCAGTGACTTGTACTGCCCACCTTCACAAGGTATCTTTGGGCCCAGTTAAAAAACAAAGAAAAAAAATCTGTCAAATATGGCAAAGGACTTTTAAAAATATAGCAGGTGACCAAGGAATCTCTTCCTGATTTATGTAATATTTTAAAAGAAATATGTAGTAGCAATAGCACCCAGATATTATTTGAAGAAGGCTTCTTTGTTTCTTGAGACCTTGGATGGATCGGGGTGTCATGAACACTGTCAAATAGACAGTCCAGGAAATGATGCACAAAAGAACCATTGTCAGGGCAGATTCTCACATTGCTGTGATCATGGATTTTTAAAATGAAGATGGATTTAAGCAAAGCTGCTTTAAAAAATGCACGGTTTCCCCAGTCCTTCTGTGGCCTGCTTGGGCCTATAGGGATGGAAGAAGAGGAAAGAGAAGGAGATTTCTGGTTGGTAGTATTTATTTGACCATGAATTCCTCAAACAATACCCCCTTCAAAATTCACTGAGAGGAATTTCATGGAAACCATGACTTCCATGGTCCTGTCCCAGATTACCCAGAGCCCGACTAGTAATAGTGGTCACACTCCCAATTTGGTGTTCTTGTCAGAGCAGTGTCTATGTGACCTGGAATTGGTGGGCCTGTCCTTGATCCCCTTATCATGGTCAGATCACTGTCTGGTGGCAATGAGTTTCTCAAAAGCTTCACACACACACTCGCAGGGAGGCAGGACCTATTAGATTGATCTGCCCCCATCGACTAATGGACCTAGATTGGATTCCAGAAGGGGATTGTAACTGCAGATCCATTATGCAGTCCAGCCAAACTCTTAGTCACTGTTTGGAATAGGAAGGTGACTGAGGCTCTGGATAGGATTGTACCCTTGCGACCTCTCCTCACCCATAGATCTCTCTGTGCCCCGTGGTATACAGAAGAACTTAGAGGATGAAACACACGAGATGTCTAGAGCGCGAGTGGAAGACAGGAGATGAACTCGATCGAACACGGGTAAGAGCTGCTACTAAGGCCTACCTTGTGGCGATTCAGGTGGCGAAGTGTAAATACTTCTCCACACTAATTGCATCTGCAGATAATCGCCCACTGACCCTCTTTAACGTGAGCTGTCTCCTCCTAGGGAAGGAGGAGATTGAGGTCTACCTGAAGGGGCGCGGTGAGGAATTTGTGGATTTTCTGGAAGACAAAATCACTCAACTTCATTCCCAGTTAGATGCCGGTATGATTGCTGGTCATGTGGCTCATGAAAGTTTTGGGTACTGGTTCCATTATACAGATTTAACTGCAAGGGAAGCTGGATTTGATCAGGACAAGGAAGAAAAGAGAGCTTGTCTCTTTCCCCAGGGCCTTTTTTTCCAACCATAATTACCATTACTGCGGTGACGCAGTGGTTTAGAGTACAGTACTGCAGGGTACTTCTCTTGACTGCCGGCTGCCTGCAATTTGGCAGTTCAAATCAAAGCAATAATCAAATTACTTAACCCAACCTTTCCTAGCTTCATACATTTTGAATGACTTTAATTTTAATTAAAGAGCCTTGGTGGCGCAGCGATTAGAGTGCAGTACTGCAGGCTGCTTCTGCTGGCTGCCTGCAATTTGGCAGTTCAAATCCCACCAGGCTCAAGGTTGACTCAGCCTTCCATCCTTCTGAGGTGGGTAAAATGAGGACCCAGATTGTTGGGGGAAATACGCTGATTCTGTAAACCACTTAGAGGGCTGTAAAGCACTGTGAAGCAGTATATAAATCTAAGTGCTATTGCTATTACTACAATTACATAGGAAGAAATTTGACTTCAGAAAACTGGACACCCTCCTAAGAAAGGATGAAGCATTTGTTCCCCATTCCATTCTGCTCTGACCAGACTGATCCCCTAGCTATATCTCAGTCATAAAGACAAAGCACAAAGCCGAAAGCATCAGCCTGAAGATGGCAAGTGGGACCTCTTCGAAACGTCGGCAAGATACTCTCAATCTTACACGGGAAAAGACCCGAACACACCAAGGCCTGTATACCTGTACCCGTGAAAATCTACACACACACACAAACACACACACATACATACACACACATACATATGGGTTCCCTTGAAAATCTACATACATACACACACACACACATACACACACACACATATATATCTGAGGGGTTGCTTATATCCCCCTGCTTTGTTCCTTTTGGCACTTCAGAGGTAACTCTAAGTCTTCAGTCACAATCTTGATGCTTTCAACCACCTTCTGTGGCTATTACATATTTTTACCCAAAGGCCATGCAGTGCTTTTGCTGCCGTTCAGTGAGAAGGTTCCTGATATCAAAGCAGCAGAAGCGATGGTAGCAGTCACCACAGCAGAAAGAAGGGAAGTTGCAGTCGATGCCACGGTGCCAGGAGCCATTTCTGTCTATATACCACTTGCAGTCTTCATCAGCTGAGACTGGAAGGAGAAAGAAGACACTCCTTTTATCAATTCCATAGAAAATAGAAAGCAGTGAAAAATCCTCTGAGAACACTGTTCAGGAACACCCTGAAATTTCCCACACATCAGTCTCTAGGAATAACTCAAGGACCTATAGTCAAAGGTCTTCCAGAATTTTGCAAGCTATTATTACATGGTCTTTCACAATAGCAGGGCCATCCCAAAATTTAAAACTAAACTTGAAAAATGTTTGTGAGATCATTAGATCTTACAAAATCATGTAAGGTGTTTTTTGACATTAGGTAAGAATACCAAAATCTCCTTATCTTCTTGCAAGGTTTTGGTTTTCTTGAAATCTCACACAATTTGCGTACGGATTTGTACGTTTTTCCAATTTTTGTAAAAAAATATTTTTATTCAATTAATTTAATTTAATTAATTATACTATTAATGGTTTTCTCATAAGTCGTACCATTCACAATCCCAAATTGCTGCTGAATATAAACATCATTCTCTATCTCTACTTTTTAAATATAAAAGCAATAATGCAGAAGTTGGCAACATAATGAAAATGGATATTTTCTTTGGTAGTTATAAGACTCCCAGGCTTAATATTTTTCAGATCTTTTTAAATGAAAAAAAAAAAAATAGTAGGAAGCTGCTATGTAACAAAGTAAAGTGCCAGCTTCTAGAAATATCAGAATGCTTCAAAGCATAACAGAAATTACAATAGGTATTTATACAATTTAAATATACTAGGAGGACATACAGGTAGTCCCCGACTTACAACAATTTGAGCCCAAAATTTATGCTGTTAAGTGAGACATTTGTTTAGTGAATTTTGCCCCATTTTAGAACTTATTGTGCCGCAATCGTTAAGTGAATCACTGCAGTTGATAAGCTAGTAACCCAGTTGTTAAGTGAATCTAGATTCCCCATCGACTTTGCTTGCGAGAAGGTTGTAAAAGATAATCATATGACCTTGGAACACAGCAACAGTCATGAACATGAACCAGTTGTCAAGCATCTAAATTTTGATCACACAATTATGGGGATGCTGCCAAGGTTGTAACTGTGATAAACAATCCTAAGTCGTATTTTTCAATGCTGTTGTAATTTGAACTGTCATTAAACAAAAGGTTGTAAGTCAAGGGCTACCTATAGTCCAGTATTTTCTTAGACAGTATGGGAATTTGCCTTCTACAAAACAAAAGGAAATGAAAAGCTGGTATAGGAGACAATATCTTCTGGGGACTGATCCACATCATTTTGTCTTCAAGGAAAATCGTGTATTGGCCATGATCATCATGGCAACCATGTTCTATAAAAATTACAGTATAAACATCAACATAAACGCTGCTTAAATTTGTAGATTATTGCCCCAATGCATTGTTTCTTTTAACAAAATTAAAACAGATTGTGAGCTACATGCAACATATGGCATATTCAAATATAAGATACATGCTCTTGATCATTGTTGTAACAGGTAAGTGAATATGTAAATTGTCATCGCTATGTAAAGTTGTATTATTTGTTACTTAAAAAAAAACTTCATAGGCAAATTAATTACATGAAACCTTGTATCATTAAAATAAAGATGAGGGATACATAGTTTGTTGTATTTCTTAGAAATACAGTAGACTATGCATTTATAAATGCTGTCAATAAAAAATAGTATATGGTACGTATGTTGATCATGTTATGTCAAATTTAGCAGAGCAGAGGAAGATAAAACTGAAACTCTTGTACTCTCTGGCATGCTTAGGTTTGGCTATGGTTTTTTATTACCACCCAGAATATCAAATGAGTTCATTCCTATGATTCAATTCCCTTCATTTAAACATGTGACCTCCATATATAGAACACAACCAGCTGTCTTCAGATGACTGGAAGTGCTTATCCTGCACTGCAACCATTTTATTCATTACAGTTAGATTGTGCCTCTATTCCAAAAGTTCAACGGGTGTTCACACATGTTTTTGACAAGAGAGTGAGACCCATTGCTTTATTATGCTTGTCATTTTTTTATTTTTTATTGATACAATTATAGTATCTTTGATTGTTGTGAGCTGTCCAGAGTTACTGACGGTTGGGCAGCATATAAGATTAATATATTATTATTATTATTATTATTATTATTATTATTATTATTATTATTATTATTATTATTATTATTATGGTTGCCCACATAGTCAGACAGCTGTTTAGACTGGATTTGGCATTTTCATCCTTCCTGAGGATCTGGGATAGGCAGACATTATTATTTGATGATTTTTAAAGTTATTGCAAGATGCAAGTACTTTCAAGGAAAGCTGCTTTTGCCAAAGTCATCTTTTATTTGCAGATATTTTGTGATTTTCTCACATTCTTTTTCTTCTGTTTTGCTGTCCATTATCCAGCTCTTTTGGGCAATAACAATAACAATCGTTAAATCTGGGATGTTATGTGGCTGATGCCTGTTTGCTTAAGGACTTTAGTGTCTTCATTTTCTATTACTTTTTCTACTTTATGGTCTCATCAGTTCTTGCTTGCGGGCAAATGCATCATTGATACTACTTTGTCATGCTGTTGTTTGTAGTCAGTCTGTGTGATCTTCTTGCTGCCACTAACTAAGTAGTCCATTGTTTCTCCAGCATTTTTGCACAGCTTGCATTTGTTGCCTGTTGCTTTCTTCTTAATGCTGGCTTTATATGCATTTGGCTTGGTCTTGTGCAGGCAAAACTTGCCCCTCTGTCTCTTTCTTCAAGTTTCCTGCTCTTAATCGTTGCCAGGTCTGCTTTGTTATCTGCTTTCTCTGCTATTTTTTTAAGTATTAGTCACATAATATTTTGCCTTTCCATATCTCTTTCCTATTCTTCATTCGGTAGGCCAGTTTGGTCTCTCCACTACTCAGTAAGCCTTCATTGGGTCCCAACTTCAGTGCATCCTATTCATTGTCCTTTATATATTCTCCCAATGTCCCTTTCTCTTCAACTGTCTAGTAATATTTATCTTTTGCTGCAAATTTACTGTCCAGACAACCCCATTAAGTAAATGGGGTTGTTGCAATAGGTTTGTTGCAAGAGAGTATCATAATCAAGTGGCTATATTAATTTGGATATTCCAAAACTAAGACAATACAGTACTTTAACCCATTATATAATATGCTGTATTTTAGTACAATGATTCTATACTCCTTGCACAGGATTCATAACCTTAAAGCCAATTTCCCAGCATATTTATTTTATAGAGCATGATAGCTACTCACCACTATTGCACCACTTATTAAAAATAAGAACACCTCTATTCTTTGCTTGTTTATATAAAATAAAATTCAATCACAAATGCACTGCCTATGATGACTCATGTGAACAGTATTATGAACATAAATAGTGTCTTTTTTCAAATATGCACATTCAGTGCTACCTCCCACCACACCCCTTCCTCTAATCCAGGGGTCTCCAATCTTGGCAACTTTAAGACCTGTGGACTTCAACTCCCAGAATTCCTCAGCCAGCAAAGCTGCTCTAATCCATGTAAGGTTCTTGATTATTAACTGGATTAATGGGAACCTACAGCAGAGTTTTGCAGACTTGATCGGTTGGAATGAATCATATTTATGAAAGGACTGGTGTTCAAAAGTGAGACTCAGGAAACACAAAGTTGCTCCATTCAGTCACTGAACAAGCACGCCTCATGTTTCATTTTCTGTCTTATGTTACCTTTCCTTTCTTTGAGAAATAATTAAGAGAAATAATTGTATTTCCCTCTTTCTGTAGAGAAAAGCTGCAGCCTTCTTTTTTCCCTGGCACTGGACGACTATAAAAACCAAGTAACAAATAAATCCTTTAACATGGTTTTATTAGTGTTTTTGTCATTTTAAAAGATGGAAGAAGGCAGCTGGAATTCCTCTCCATTGACACAATGAAGAGATGAAACGGCAAGGCAACATAAACCTAATCTCCTGACATATCTGGGCACAGAAAGATATTAATGCATATTCATCAAGATTATACTTGTATTTTATGATTTTCTCCAGTTTTTTCCTCTCCCACTATACTGTCTATCCAGACTTCTTCATCTTTTCTTTCAATAATTGTTAAGCCCAGGGTGCTATATGGCATGTGCTTGTCTTTCATACATCCATATCCATTTGAACCTTAGATGATGAGCTTATGAAACATAATTGGTTTTTCTTAAATTATTTATTGTTGAATTTAATTACTTTTTTATATTTTATTCAAGAATATTGCCAAGCCATGGGAAAGGCTTTCCCATCACACAGTTTGAATAATTAAAATTTCTGGTCTTCAGTGCAGTAAAAGCACCTATCCTTTATTGTATGTAAAACCAGGGGAAACTTTCCTTCCTCTTCAATTATTCTAGAGGAAAATGGGCATTTGCAGGAGGGCTAGATTCCTGCCTGAGTTATTTCCTTCCTCTTTGTGAAAGGGAAAGGGTTTCTCTAGTCCAGTTTTCTTAACATCCCTTTTTTATTTCAAATCTTCAAATATGTATTCACCCTGAATAAACAGTTTAACAAATGAGCAATCTTCTGCAAGTAAAATTATTCCATGATTGATAGCCAGCATGCCCGACATTGTTCAGATGTCAGATTTCTCCATTAATTATGGGGCTCAACAGATGAACTTGAGCCAATGATTCTCTCTCAAACAAACATAACTCTCAGGATTCTTTCCAAAAACCTAAAACTCTAAAAATAGGCAAGTTATAAACATAATGGTAAGTTAAAAAATACAACAAAAATAAAATAAAATGTTGAGCACTTTTTGTAGCATGACCAACGCCTATATCTGCTAGAAATCATGAGAATTAGCAATAGCACTTAGACTTATATACTGCTTTATAGTGCTTTATAGTGCTTTACAGCCCTCTCTAAGCGGTTTACGGAGTCAGCATACTGCTGCCAACAATCAAAGTCCTCATTTTACCCACTTCAGAAGGATGGAAGGCTGAGTTAGTCTTGAGCCTGGTGGGATTTGAACTGCCAAATTGCAGGCAGCCAGCAGAAGTAGCCTGCAGTACTGCACTCTAATCACTGCGCCACCAAGGCTCTTATTTTAATTAAATTAAAATTTTAATTTAATTTAATTAAAATTAAAGTCATTCAGAATGCATGAAGCTAGGAAAGGTTGGGCTAAATAATTTGATTATTGCTTTGACTACAGTAATACTATAAGTACTATTTGTAGACTCACAATAAGATTAGAACCCTTCAGCTCCACTTCTTTAAGTTTATCCCACAACTCCTATGATCCCTTGCCAGAACATCAATTAGCTATTGTATTAGTTGGACATGCTGTTTGGGAATTAAAATTGAATTATACAAGATATGGAGATGAAACATTGCATACCCTGTTCTTCTCAACAGTTTTTTAGAATACAAAGCCACTATCAAGAGGCCAAAAAACTAGCTACCTTGATAATATATCATTAACAGAGTTTGCAGATATAACATACCTATCACAAGCAGGGCCTCATTGGAGAAACCCCCTCAGGTTGTGTGAAAGAATGCAGGGAGTCTTAATCAGCTGCAGGTGTCAGCACCATGGACAGCACTACACAAATGAATGACCAGGTTCCAGATACAAGCAGGATTCACTAATCCCAATAGTGACCTTGAGAACTGCTGTACATCCAAACTGGGCAACAGGATACAAAATACTTTCAAACTGAATAAATTGCTTTAGGCATTAAAAATGAAGCCAGCTAGATCCTTTCATCAAGTAATTCAGTAGAAATTCATCAGCCATAATTTCTACTTCATTCTACAATCCATTCCTTCCTATCTAATTTTATCTTCTCAATGGATATATCATTTTTTTTTCTCCTTGCTATTGAAATTTCCTGATCTTCAAGTATTTTGAATTTCTTTTCCTTCAAAAATCCACAACAAATTCTCATTTATCCCAGATTCAAAGAATTCAAAGTTCCACTATGGTATTCGCCTTGGAACTGCCTTGAATATGCTTGCTCAATTAATGCCAGCAATCTTGGGCCATAAGCACCATCCCTCCATCCCATACAGTAAAAACAGAATTAATATTTTCTAACTTTCTGTGAAGTTGACAAGAAGCACTTTGGCTCTAGCAATGGAAACCTCATTTAATGATTAGAAGTCTGTCCTTTCGGATGCTGTGCTACAGCCAAAAGGTATATTAGAGGGTTTTTTTTAATATGTCAAGATTTCATTCTAATTGTATCTATTTTTATTATGATTACAGAGGGTGTAAAATAAAACAAGACTCAAGCAAATAGCACTTTACTGCACAAAGATCAGTGTAATTCCCAACTGTCAAAAGAAAGAAAGAAAGAAAGAAAGAAAGAAAGAAAGAAAGAAAGAAA